ACTCGAAATGGAAGTATGCTCAACAATAAAGATTTATCGTTCGAATGCACCTTAAGCGAGATAGCCTTGCCTTAGAATGCACCTCCTTATTGAGCCACACTAGGTTAAGCAATTTCGGAGAAACCGCATTAAATTATTACTTTGCTAGCCTTCCATTTTCAGCCAAGGATCTTGGCCTATTAATGGGCCGTCAAATGAACCTTGCTCAATGGCTTGCGTAATAGACTTCATCAAATCACTTTCTTATTGAATTAAATTTATCTTCATTCCCCTAGAGCGTAATTATATTATCTGCCTAATTTTATTTTTATTTGATCTCTATCATTTTTACTTGAACATACTTATAATATATGCTACTCTTATCTGTGCATTTCTATTCCTTTATACATTAAAAATTATTATTCACAATATATCTCAAATTGATTCTGTAATATACATATTTACACTTACACACTCACATCAAATTTTCGTGAACCCTGTGGAAAAAGGCAAATTAATTCTGGACACTTATCGCAGTGAAGGTCATGTACCAGCTATGGAAGTTGTGCAAAACGAAATTAACGTTCTTCTTGATATCTTTCGCCAGGAGGTTCAACAAAGCCTGACTAGGCAAGAGGAACAACTTAGCCAACTAGAAACCAAAGCTGAGATGTATTTTGGAAAGGCGGGCTCTGTCAAAACTCAAGAGGCGACTGGTAACTATCTAACCGACATGCGCTCTGCTTTGGATGCAGGCGAGCAGATGCTTTTAGACTTTCAGGAGGGCATTGATTTTTACGCAAAGCTCACTGAAGTTCTGCTGAAGTTATCTTCAAAGGTAAACTTTAATTTCGTTGATCCTATTAAAATAACCATTATTTAAGCAAATTATGGACTTAAAATTTTGATTATTCTCAGACATTCTTAATAAACGTCCATTTTAACTTCCTCTAGAGATTTTATTTTTATCATTATTTATGGGAATGTCTCTTCCTAAGATTTAAGAAAGTTGTCTTTGAAAATCATCGTTCATCATCCATGAAGTCTGTCTATTTAATTCTGTTTGTATACAAGGTCAGGTCTTTACACTGAATTTCACATAGCCTTGCTTTCTAAAAGGCATTAAACTCAATAATGACCCACAGTTTTGGCCTCGTTTATGTTTCGTCAGCACCTCCAGCTGGACTCAAACCCTATTAGTGCAGCGCATACTCTCGACTAAAAACTACGTCACTGCATTAATATCCTTGGACGCAAGTAGATTTCCAGTAAGGCGAGGGATTTCCCATTTATTTTTGTGTTGGGCTTGTAGATGAAGCAAAGTTGTATTTTCTACTATAATCACTTACCTTATTTATTATATTTTTTAGGTAGGTTGTCATTCAATATCTACTTGTAGTATTAATAAGGTACAATGAAAATAAGTCTATGCAATTTGGTTGATTGAGATTTATACGTAGGTATGAAGACCAAGATGGTGTGGCCTTTTGTGTGGTCGCAGTCTCCTTTCGTTGTATAGAAGTTATTTGACTTTGTTTTCGAAACTAAGTCACATTGGTAGGAACTCAGCTTGCCTGGAGTCCATTGTATGTATAATCATTTCCAAAGTCGGACCGTGGACGTGGTACATTCCCAGACGTTTCGCCGGCATCTTAATCGACATCGTCAGTGAGTCTCGCCATTCTTCTCACCACACAACAACTCGTCAAAGAGACAAGAGAACGTGTGCTGAACAGTTATGGTATCTCCCCTTCTGCCCTGGCCTATTCACATTTCCTATATCCTCCAATCACGCCTTCACCATCACAATTTTTTAGTTAATCAATTAAATGTGGTAGGGTATGCATTTTTAAGCGGCTTTCATGAGAACCCTCCGCACTCCACGCTGGCCTTCTCACTCCCCTTCATCCTTGTGCAGCGAATGTTGATCAGAGTCTGTCATATTGTTACGCAGTCCTCCTTCCCTAGGTCTTACGATAGTCTCCCTCTTGCCCCGTAGAATCCATCTGCGATCTCTCTGGATCAAGTATTTTCCTCTGCTACTCGAGGTGTTATTAGCCCTCCTCTGCGGCTAAGTGACTAATTCAAGGCTAAAGCCTTAGAGTAAGTGCTATGGTCAGGCGTTTGCCACATGGACCACGTCTCTTATAAAACCTAATGTCAGTCCACAAGCTCCCATCGCCGCCGCGTCTATCTTGAGTCTATCTCTAATACCAAGTATATGACTTGCCATGCCCT